TGGGATGGGGTTTGGGCACAAAACGCCTCCATGCACTCCCGCCACATTCCCTCCATTGTCAAAGGGTATTTAGATTTAGGTTACCCCTAATCCTATCGTCGCAGACCGCTTATTTGGATACAATTAGGGTTTGACCCTTAAAACCCGATAGGATTAGGGGTCGAGGCAGGATACCCTACCTACCCTACATACCATCTGGAAGTGCAAACTAATCTACGTGTAATCCTGTACTTGATGGTCGAAGTGCTGAGGGAAGATGATGGTACTCACAGGCTAGAGTACCGTCTTCCCTCAGCACATTCCACTTACATGGCCATTGCAGCTGTGTCATTTTGAGGCGCTTTTAAGGCCAATACAAACTTTAATCCCCATGCCTTCTGTTCGTGAGAAGATGGCAGAGCAGATGAGCATTAACCTGGCATGCGAATGGTGCAGTTTCTCGCTTATCTCGTGCAGTTGCAACCTCCTGTGCCCTCCTGTGCATCTTTGAGGTTTTTGCTTGCAACACCATGAGGGTGATCTGCAAACTGTTGGCCAGCATCCGGCACATAAGCCTGAGATCCCCGCCAATCTCTGTGGTCTCTCTGCATCTAATATATGTCTTCACGTTCTCCACCACCTGTTTTATACACCGTCAGACTTCCTTGCATTTGCCCTTGAACTTGATGCCGATCTTCCCCGCCTACAGGCAGAGAATTGTAGTTGCACCAGGAAAAGAGGCTTTACCGTTGCTATCCTACAAATAGCAATGTGGGGACCACCAACTTGAACTACGCAATGCTCAAGCAGGCGAGTGGTTTAATGATTTAATCCTCCATTCCACATCTCTGCATGCGTTGTGCACGGATCGGGCCATTCCATGGCCATTGTATGGAACAACAGCATCATGGTCCATGCCATGGCTGATGTTACTGATGTCTTACATAATGATGTTGTTCTCTTGTCACACCAAACCGGCCACAATCTCTTGTAGGTCGAAGATCATTCCTCTGGCCTCATGCTGCAGCAGGAGAATGTACCAACACTCTGTGACCTTCTCCTTTGCACAGCAACAAACACTGTTATACTCGGCTGTAGCCGCCATCGTCTCTTTCACAGTCACTACAATGACATGGTTTCTGCGTCCATGTGTGTAGACGACTGTCCCTCCGTTCCTGACTGCAGGCACCCTCCGCAGCCAGACACTTTATGTCCATTTTGTGGCCATGGGCGTGAATGCATGGTCTTTTGTGGTGCCCGTTCTTCCTTCATGTTGGCCTGCAATCAACATGCCATTTGTCGGGAGTGTATGGTGGGCATGCTCAATGCCAGCCGTTGTGACAATTGTTGTACTGAGCTTAGCTAGGTCTTCCGTGTGTTCATCCACCTCATCATTATGTTGCATGTCCTCTCTGTCGTCAAGGACAGACTGATTCTTGAGCTTTTTTTTTTTTTTTTTTTTTTTAATGTGGCCCGATGGACCATGGATCATATATTAAACTGATCAGAACAGATACTACACTTCATTTTAGCCAAAAGGCCGAAAGGTATTCTCAAGCTTTTTCTTATCCTTTGCTTTCATCTGCATTTCACACTCCTCACTTTCCCTTACTTTGTAATTCTTTGTTTTGTCATCTCTCCATCCCTCTTCCCTGCGTTTATGCCCTCCCCCTTTACTCAGCCTGTTTCTTACAGTGTAAAAGTGGGCCATTATGGCACACGGGATGCCGGCAGCTCGCACGCTACTTCATCAATGTGGCGAGCCTTGTACCTGAGAGGCACAGTAAAGGGGGAGTTGAAAGAAGAATGATAAAAATGAGTGGTTTCAGTGCAACTCTTCATGTTTGTCTTGTGTATTTTTGTCGTTTGTTTTGCAAAGTCTGCTTTTTTAGCTCATAGATATTTGACAATATATATACCTGCCTGGCGCGTATCCATGAGCTCGAAGAAAAAAAAAAGAAAAAAAAGGGATAAAAATTTTGAAAAAGAAAAAAAAAAGGTATTTGACAATATACTAATATAGTAATATTACTAATATCAGGGTTACCTGACCGAACATTCGGGGGCCCCCGGGCTGGCCCCCGAACGTTCGGGCGTTCGGGGTCCCGTTCGGGGGCCGAACACCTCCATGTTCGGCCGCCGCCAAAAAAAAATTCGGGGCCTAAAAATATGTTTTTTTTTGCGAGTTCTCTATGATGTAACCTACATGCCTATAAATTTTGAAGCCATTCTCCTAAGCCCAAAAAACATTAAAATCGTCAAAGATGGGGGTGTCAAAACGTGCTCGCCCACTCACTATTTTGTTTTTTTTTCACTTTTTTACTTTTCGTTTTCACTTTATTTCGGGGCCTAAAAAATTTTATTATGTTTTGAAAACTTTTTAACGAGCTATTGATTATGAAAACTACATATCTGTAAATTTTCAGGGCATTTATCAATGCCAAAAAATAATTAAAAATCGGCAAAGATGGCGGTGTCGAAAAGTTGCTGGCAAACTCACTCATTTTAATTCTCTTTTTATTTTTTTTTATCATAGTGTTTATTTTCTGTATTTGCTTTTTAATTCAAATTTGGTAAAGAATTTGGATGTAGTGCCCAGGCAAATGTTGTTTAGTTTATTTTTCTCCATAACATATTTTTTTCTCGGAATTTTTTGAAAACATGTTTTTTTTTTTTTTTTTTTTTTTTTTTTTTTTTTTTGGGTCCGCGCTCGGCCCGAACGGCCGAACGCCTTCCGAAGGTGTCCCGTACGTTCGGGCGTTCGGGTTCGGGCGTTCGGCCCGTCCCGAACGCCAGTAACCCTGACTAATATAGTAATATTACTAATATACCTATGTTCACTAGTGACTTCTTTTGTGTGTGTGTGCGTGGGTGACTTTTTTTTTTTTTTTTTGGTCAAGAGGGGGGCACAAGGTAAAAAGAGTGCCCATATACCCTTTTTAGGAAACATGACCGATATGGATGATTGGAAGCTTTATGTCTAGGGCCAGTTTTACCACCATTGACTCGTTGAGTCTATTTGGTGGCCATCTGTTTGACTTGACTCGGTTTGGCTTTTGTGAATGGACCAGAACGACACGAAGGCCAGTGCCATTGGAACACAATCTGTTCTATTCAGGGAAATTGTACAGAATCTGTGATCGAGAGACGTTCCTTCCAGAAGGACACCGGGAAGCTATGGTTGCCCACAAAGCGAAGAATGAGAAGAAAGCGCCAGCAGGAGGGATGGGCCAAGGCCGTGGAGGAGCAGGAGCAGGTGGACGAAGCCGCACAGGCGCTAGTGGACAGACGAAAGCAGCAGCTGCACAGGCAGCAAGAGCAATAGGCTCTGCGATGACAGGTGGCGGCGGTGGTGGTTGGAGATCTGAGACGTCTCAATGGTATAACTTCTTGGACATGCTGAAGAAACAGAGTCTGCTGCCGGTAAGCGATCCTCTCGGCTGCGAAGGATGATGATTGATGAACAGGAAAAAACAACAAACAAATCTGTTCTTTTATATCCCTTTTAAAAAATAGAAAGATTTTTTTATTTTTATTTTTTTTGAAACTAAGCCTGGGTTAAGCCGATGCCCGGTCCAGACAGACCGGGCCTGACGGACCGGGCCAGACGGACTGGGGGGGGTCCGTCCGGCAAAACCAGACGAGCCAAAAAACATCTCAGAATTTTTTTTATTTTTTTTTTGAAGATGGGGTTGGAGTGCGCTCACTGAGAGGAGCCCGAATCCGCAGAGAAACTTGTGAAAGG